ACATATACATTTGTTTTGGATTTCTATGCAGCTTCAAACTATTTAAATACGATACTATCTCTTCCTACTGTATTATTATCTAAGTGAAGACACAGAATAGCTATGATTCCACTTTCTGTAGATAACCACTCAAAACTGCACATACTCTTGTCAGCTTTTCCTCTAGAAACTTACTCAGAATGAACATATCAGGTGAGTCTCAAATTTACAATAAACAAATGAGCAAAGTATGTTTTTCTCTGCAAGAAAAATCAAATAATAAACCAAACAATGGAATTTTACATTTTTTTCACCATGCATTTTTTTTCCACCATGGTCTTGTATAAAAGCTATGTAAGAATTTGGTCTGAACTTTGCGTAGAATGGGAGAAGTATTGCACATACCCCAATCAAAACAGAAGACATAAAATAAACCCCTAATTTTATGATAGCACTTTTTAAAGTAGCTTTAAGATTTTTACAATTAGAGTTTGCAATACGTTTCTAGATGTGAGTTAAAAGCTAAGTTTAAAGGTATTAGACTAACTATTTACGCCCTATCACACATTTAAAAAACAGGAAATACAATTTTACTAATACTATGCACGTGGTTGATGCTGTTTTAAAATTCCAATTTGTAACCGAAACTGTTGAGGAAAAAAGCTCTGGTATTTAAATATTCATTTAAGCGTTTTAATCTCAATTTTGTTTTGAAACCTGAAATTCTTTACTTCTACTCAAAATGACAAGTTGTATTATTTATAAAGTATACGTTCATTAGGAAATAATTCAACATGTAACATACAAGTTTAACAGTGGAATTACTTTTTGATTATTTTCCTTAACTTGCAAAATCTTTTGCTAGGCTTTTCATTCCAAAGCACTGATTTCATTGCAAACTGGCTGCAGCTTTAAAGTAATTCTTTCCCCTACTACTAAAAAAAATGTATTTCGAAATTTATATATTGTGAAGCTGTTGATGCCTTACAATCTCAATATTTTAACTAAAAAAAAAAAAATAAAAAAAAAAAAGCTTTTTCAAAGTTAGACTTCTGCCATTCTATAAAGCACAGTAGAGAAAAGAGAAACATCAAAGCCAGTTATGAACAACCATGCAGGCCTGTGCAGCAAGATACAGAAACTGGGCTCCAAAGCATAACCTAACATGGCTCTGATCCAAACAAATGTGCCAGTTTCTCCAAATTACGAACTATTCCACTTTCTGGTGTAAACAGTCTCAACAATGCCTCATATGAATTGAAGCTGATGGGACTCACACAATTACATGTATTTTTGAAAATAAATCCAAAAACATAATTTTTTTCCCCAATCAAACACATATATGTGGCTGCTCGCATGGTACTTTCTCTTAAATCAGCAGCTGAGTTAAATCTCAAATTCCAAGTTGTCTGTTATATAATGTTAGAGGATATGCGGAACGTAGAGACTAAAATAAATGGCTGGTGTTAAGAACAGCAAAAATGGCCTAAAGCTCACGTACAACCCTTCTGTTTGGATGAATTGGAGGAATGGAATCACAGAATCATAGAATGGCCTGGGTTAAAAAGGACCACAACAATCATCTAGTTTCAACCCCCCTGCTATGTGCAGGGTTGCCAACCAGCAGACCAGGCTGCCCAGAGCCACATCCAGCCTGGCCTTGAATGCCTCCAGGGATGGGGCATCCACAACATCCTTGGGCAACCTGCTCCCGTGCGTCACCACCCTCTATGTGAAAAATTTCCTCCTAATATCTAACCTAAACCTTCCCTGTCTCAGTTTAAAACCATTCCCCCTTGTCCCCACTATCCACCCTTTTAAACAGCTGTTCCCCCTGCTGTTTATATACTCCCTTCAAGTATTGGAAGGCCACAAAGAGGTCTCCCCAGAGCCTTCTCTTTTCCAAAGTAAACAAGCCCAGTTCAGCTCCCAAACAGTGCAGTACCTGAAGACAAAGGGTTTCCATGACTGCAAGGCATCTGAATAAAAAATGAGGAAGACCTTCACAACTTGATGACAGTGATTTGCCTGTTTTTTTAAGGTAAACTATTTTCAGAAATCACTGTGCTTGCACGCCTCTAGGGCCCTTAGAATGGTTAGCTGTGTGGGTACTTCATTGAAGGAGTGCTCAGGGTAAGAGCTAGGACAAGTACTAAGAGCTACTACGTCATCATTGCATGATAAGAAAGACTGAACTCTTGATATGCAGTAACAACAACATCTCGTGGACTTCACAGCTGGAGTAAATTATTATTTTCTGTAATCAAGATAGCAAAAACAGCCTTCTAAAGATTCACGCATTAGCTTGATTAAAACGTGCTCTGACAACATTATACCCTCTTCCACATTCCTGCCTGAGAAAGGAAGTTTGTTTGATTCTCCTCCCTTTCCAGGATGGACACCTTCATCTTCAGCCCACCCAGACCATGCATGAGGACCCAGATCTCATAATCTTGTTGCCAACAGAGATCACAAACACCATGGAATCCAATGGCCCAGTTCTGAAATTAAACTCTCACATTCAGACATCTTTGATTCCTCACAGTCTATAGAAGCAGTCACACCAGACACTGACATTTCTATGTAATTCTCATACCACCACTAGAGTGAACTGGACTGAATGGACGCTTAGGTATAACAGCTGTTATACACATTTCTTTATTCTCAGAAACAAAATAATTATATACATCTTATCTAGACCCTGCATCAAAATGTCAAATGTAAGATAATCATCCAAACACACAATTAACTTTTGATTCCTTTGTGTCTGGGATTAAAACCATGCAGACGATTCTTAACACAGAGGTACTATTAAAGGCATGTGCAGTGTTTCAAAAAAGCAACCAAGAAAATAAGGTGAACATTTTTCAGAGCCAGAGATAGTACAATTCTAAAACAGTATGATACAGCATTAGTCAGCTCACAAAATGCAAGACTTTGCATGTGGGTTATACAATAAACTTGTCATATATTATGCTTTATGTTATTTAACCTACATGCTTCTAAGAAAGTCCTGTAATTAAGCATCATGACTTGTTAACATAAAGGGCCAGTTTGTTACAAAATTCCCTTTCTCTATGTAAATTTTCTTCTTACCTTTGATTTTGTATATTTATGCCGCTTACTTTGTACAGGATGTAAACAAAAAAACACCACAAACATTATATAATACACACTGAATACACACTGTATTATTTCAAACAGCTGCTTCTCTAAAATTACAAGTGGTGGCAGGGAGGATTACATGTGTCCATATTCATGAATTATAGGAAAATAATTGTTGTTTGTATATGTTTGTATACAGTCACACATGCTCTGTTAAACTTCAGCAGGTAGGAAAAGGAGTAAAACCAAATAGCGAAGAGTCAAAGAGGAAACTAATAGTTATTCCCCTCCCCTGAAACAGAAAGTGAGACTTCATCTTAGAGGATATACTGCTGTCAACACAATCAGATGCAGCAGCTAGTTGTGTTAGCAGCATGACGCTAAGCAATCCAGCATACGCACACACAGCACTGATGTACTGTCCTCAATTATATGGTGCGGCTAAATGAAGTCAAGAAGTTCGGTGAGTAATGCCAATTGCTCAATTTGCTTTTGGCATCGAGTTATACTTTCAACTGTGCCTGGTAAACAGCTAAAAATATTACTCTGATGCATTCTTCTTCTGCTAGGCAATACTTTTTTTGTCCTGTCTGGGCAAAAGTAAGGTCTGTGTCATATCCTGCAAAGACACAACAAAGCAGAAGAGCCAAATTCTGCCATTACAGCAAAGACTGAAAGGATCGTGCAGCTTTCTTTCCCTCATTTACAAAGAACGCAGCATTTTTATTTTGTTGCTGCATTATTACCTTTTGGAAGAATAAAAAGTTATTTCCATATCTGGTTCAAATGTGTGTTTTGCAGTATGTTTGACAAAGTGTGTCAAAGTACTTGCTCCTTGCTCCTTTGCATTTTCAAAGTATATTTTGGCTGTGAGATAAATAAAACCAAACTGAACTCAACAAAAACTATTCTTGTCATTTCTGGTGGTTAGTCAAGATTTTTAACATCAGACGTTTTTCCCCTTTCTGTGCAGGCTGAATACTTTTAAAAACAGATTTTTGAAGGAGTTGCATCCCACAAATTTCTAGAAGTATCTGCATATCAACCACCCGTTCACCATTTATGAATTGTTCTACACTGGTCTGTTGGCATTAAAGACATTATTCCCATTAAAACTGACAGTTAGTGGTATAAACACAACTAAGGTGTCTGGTTTTTTTTTTTTTTTTTTTTTTTTTTTTAATTATTATTGCAGAGTCATTCAACCTCACCAAGTTACAAAAATGAAATTTTCAAAAAAGGCTGAACAAACAGAACTTCTACATTATCAGCTGAAATTGCACTTAATCAAAATTGCTGAAAATAGAAGTTTTTTTTCAGCTAGATAGCTTTCCAAATGTACACAAGATTGCTTTTGGAACATATAACATAAGCTGCTTTTGAAAACTACTAATACTGTACCAGTTCTTAGACAGAGAGGGAAGGTGAAATTTTGGGCTTAAATGGATGGAAATGATCGGGAACATTTTAGCTTCAGCTTCCATAGGGTCAGTCACTTTCTTTATCTTTAATTTGTGAGCATCAAATTAACAAATAGGACTTATTTCTAAGGCGTGTCAAGAATTTATTAACTATACAAATCACTGGAAAAACAAGTTTTTCCCATTTCTCAGAAAATCAGTGATTACAAAAAATAGGGAAATGGGGTCAAAATATTTCAGCCCAGAGCACTTCTCCAGAATTGTTAATTCCTTGAAACACGAGTCTTAAACAAGTCTTCTGATTATACAGCACATCAATTTTTGCTGTATTTCATATGAAAGTATCGATCATGTGCAACAAATAATAAAATGACAAATCAGTTCTGTTTTCAAGACTATTTTTCTAGAAATACATACAATCAAGAAACAAAAACGTATTCTACAAATCAGAGCAATAAGCCAAAACCAAAAAGCATGTACAATAAAAACATTTACCTGCGATTAACTTTAGGAGGGTACTCTTATCCCCATTAACAGCAGCAGCATGCACTTCAGATGCTAATGAGGAACCACTGAAGAGGCAGTTTGTTGAAATATTCATACTCTTGCAAGGTATTATCATAGGTCAGATCTGTACCACCAACATATTCTGTAAGAATTCAGTTCTAGGGGACAAAAAAAACCAAGTGAACTGATATAACATTAAAATGACTTAAAAAATGCTAATGAAAATAAACAGCCCCATTAAAAAATAGGAAAAAACTGTGTTTTTTTTTTTTTGTGAGTTAAATCTACTTCTAGTCAAGAGTCAATTAACAAAACTTTACATTAAGTACATATATAAATATAGTTTTGTTGCCTTCAAAATAAATTCTAGTCAGTAAGTTTTGCAAAAGTCTGCAAACAGGACAGTATCTATACATTCAACATATCCTTCTTCAGAGTGCTGGCATGGATATTTCAAAGTAACCTGTGGTGGTTATCAAGTATTGACTTGGTATCTGGTGGCATTTTACCACGATGGTTTATGAATATACTTAGAGCAAGGTTTATACCCAGAAGCAATATCTTTTATTTGACCAACTGGCATAGCAGAAATTATCAGACCAACTTTTTAGATCTTGAGCCTTCTTCAGACCTGAACAGAAGCAGGAAAATGTGTGCAAGAAAAGCCACAATGAATCAGATCAAGCTCTGTCTCAAATTGGCCAGTAGAAAAGAACAAGGTAAATATACTTATGCCTTTGTTCCTCTTTTCTAAATATTTTCTTAACTTATAACTATTCCAACACTTCCTGAAGTGGACTTTTATTTCTGTGTATTTAGAGCTTGTAAAATTCTGTTAATTTTCTTCAGTTAATTTCTGTTCTACAAACCTGTCTAGTCTCCTCTCAAGCTTATTCACTATACCCACTGATCAAGGAGTGCCACAGCACAACCAAACACTGTATGGATGAACTGCTTTCCTCCATCTGTTTTGAAGTGGCTCTTGGCATTTGAGGCCCCTTAAATCTAGAACTGGAAAGGAAACAGAAGTTCTCATCTATCAGCAATTGTTACATATCTCTGACATAGCTTCTATAATCATATATTCCTTTAGCTGAAAGTGTTGGACATTATTAAGCTGTTCCATAGGCAGGGGCTTTTATGTATGTCCAAACATTTTACTTAGCTATTTTGGACCCTTCCACAGTTCAGTCATACCCCGTTGAGATGGAAACTAAAATCCACTAAACACCACTAGGTATTCAAGATGTAGGCAAAAATTGGAGTTAGGCTGGTAAAAGGTCTCTCTTTTTTTCTTCTCCATTTATTACCTAAATTATACCTGCTAGTACTTTTGCCTTCCTAGCCTCTTTTGAAATGGAACTATCACCTTCACTGAACTACCAGTGTCACCTTCACTGAACTATCAGTGTACCAGACCTTGATAATGACAATTCAGGTCTGCACTGTGTATCAGAAATAAAGAAGGGCCTGCATGCTCATAGCACCACAAGTTTGCTCAGTTGAGAATGTCAGTGCAGAGGTGCAAGGATGAACTCCTCATGATCTTATGAAAGCGTTTTTCAGAACAATTGGAAATAGTTCTCGAGCCACATCTGGTCAACTGAAACATATAGAACAACAGGATCTCGTCCTGACACTCTCCTCTTCCACCACTGAATAAGCCTCTGAATAACGTGACAACGTTCAACATCTCTTGAATCATGAACACCTCCATCCTTATCTAATTCCTTTATGTCCCAGAAAAGTTGCCAAATGTTTTTTGGTGTACTTGTTCTAGCACATAAGTAGATGATCTTTCTCATAAAAAGAATGAGTGATTAATGGATTCACAGCCCTAGCTACTTTTAAAAGAAGACAAGAAAAGAGTTCAAAGAGGCTAAGGTGAGAGAAGGTTAAGAACATTTCCACTTGTACAACTATGGAAGACAGAAAAAATGTCCTAAAACACCACAAATGGAAACATTACCATACTTAGCTGCAGTATAAACAGGAGGAAAGAGAGAAGGAAGAAAGCTGCAGAGATGGATGCTACATAATTTAATGGGCACTTGATGCATAAGGCTGCAGCTTGAATTTAAATTGTCTTGTCTTTTCCTCAGTACACTTCCTGTGGATAGGAAGATAAATGAGCAATCTCTCTTTTAAGTGGACCAATATACACCACTGGAATTTTACACCTGTTAGGATTTTGTGATAGTAGTTTTATCCCCAAAGCTATTGCTGATGTATTTTCTTCCATTTTCTTTGCATTTTATTTGCAGATTCTTTCTTTCACTATCATTCCAGCTGGTTCAGACACGCGTGGTTGGAAGATACTTCCCCATAACTTGTCCACTAACCATATCTGAATATTCTGGACAACTCTTCTAAACAAGTGAAGAATGCTCCCTCCAGCTCTTATACTGCCAATTTGAGCACTCTCAAAATGCTTTATTATCTGGAGTACTCAGCAGGATGAAGAACCAAATGTTTTCCTCACATGCTACAGGAATACTGTGCATTGTACGATTCTAACACAATTCCATCTTCAACATTGCCACATGGAACCAAACAAAAGAAATCGTAAATAGGAATCACAGTGTGGCTGAAGTTGTCAGGGCCCTCTAGGCTCACCTGGTTCCATCCAGTCCCAGTTGCAGCAGGGCTACCCAAATCAAGCTGCCCATGTCCCAGCAGCTTCTGGATACCTCCAAAGAGACTCCACAGACTCTGGGCATAGAAATACTACCTGGTGTTCAGATGAAACCTCCTGTGCTTCAGTCTGTGCCCATTACCTCTATCCCTGGCATGGGGCAGCACTGAAAAGAGCCTGGATCTGTGTTATTTGCACCTCACCTTAGATACTTAACAGACAGTGCTGTGATCCAACCCTGGACCACCCCTTCTCTAGGCTGAAGTCCCCTCTCTCTCAGCTTTTCCTCACAGGAGATGCTTCAGTCCCTTCATCATTGTTATGGCTTTAGATTGAACCAATTTAATAAAAAGACTCCAAAAAGGCATTCGAGTTAAAGACTCACTGTTTAAATACAAACCAGAAGAACTTAAAAACAACATCTACTTTTCAGTTTTACTATTTTAGGGGGATGTCTACAACAGCTGGAGGAAGAGGTGGGGAATCAGCATTCTGAGAAGTACAAAACACGGATTAATTCTGAAGCAAAGCACAGCCTAGCTTACAAGGTAAGGTTTACACTGATGTGAATGAGAACTGGCAGTAATGGTAGTTGGAATACAAACGCCAGCAAGCCTCTGTTAGTATTTTTAATACTGTATTTGCTCTACCTTTATTTTGGAAAGGTTATGACAAAAAGTAATGAAAACAGTTATGACCAAAGACGCATTTGCCTCATCTCTCCCAGTGCTAACAAAATAGTTTGGTTAGCATTAATTTCATTTCCACACTGCTGATAGTCCTTACAAAGTCACCCCAAATAGATTACAAATGGATGTGAATACTCTACATGATATCCACGGATTACAGCATAAAATTCAGCAAATATTGGAGACCTTAATAATGCACCAGAAGCATCCCAGTTACAAATCAGCTGTAATATTAAACTGACTGCACGTTGCAGAGAATTAGTAATGACATTCCTAACTTCCAAGAAAAAAAAAAACAAAACAAGAAGAATCACTACTGTACAAAGTTTCAGTAATCACATCGGTAAGAGAAGCAGCCAATTACCTCTACAACAACTTTCAGTAGAGTATCATCACTATATTGAAAGACCTAATTCGTGATCACAGAAATTATGAGATATTAAGAGGAACTATAACAGGAAAATACATCACTTTCCTCAGATGTTGCTCTCCTGTAGATGACAAACTGGAAAAGTGGTTTGATAAAGATCCTCAACTACAAAAGTTTTTTCTTACTTCTGCGAGACAAAAACCAACAATAATCAAGAAATAACCACAAGATCTATTTATAAATAAGTGATACTGTTGGCATTATCTGCTGTGTACACTGTATTAGGGGAATCAAGCATATAATTCACTCTCTCTTTCTGAAACTAACACGGAGAGAAACACGGGCTGCAATGAGTCTACTCTATCAAATTTTATTGATAAAGCTGCCAGGAAAGCAGCATCAGTCAACAACAGGTGCGGACCCAGAAGACTGGGCATTCAACGTACAGGCACAAGAAGAGACATTAAGACAGCGCAGTCGCCCGCTGCTACTCACGAGCTGAGTTACCCCAGTTACGTAAACTCGGAGAACTTTTCCGGACCCAAAGCAACGAGAAGGGGAGGAGGAGGAAACCCCAAAGCCGGATAACGAGCGCCGGGTCAGAACAAACAGGCAAACCCCTCCCAGCCCTACAACCGCCCCGCCGCGGCCACCGCGCCCCAACGCTCACCTCAGCACCGCCCGCCCCGCCCTGACGGAGGGGGCGCCCCCGCTGCATGCTGGGATAGCCGGGTCCTCCGCGCGGGGCGCGCCGGGAGGGCGCGCTTCTTTTCCCCGGCTAAGAACTACGCTTCCCGGCGTGCTCCTGCAGGCACCCGGAAGTGAGTGGCGAAGGCGGGCGGCGCGGGGCCCGGTGGTGGGACGGCCGCGGGTGTTTCCTGGCGACGGGGGAAGTGCGGAACCGCCGCGGCCGCCGAGCGTGGGAGCCGCGTTTCTCCCCCCCACCCCGCCGCCGGGCGCCTGATCTACCATGAGACCCGCCATCTTCCTGCTCCCGCCTCAGCCCGGCCGCCTCTTCCTCCTCTTGGTAAGCCGCCGGCTTCTACCCGCCCGCCCCGCGGCCCTCTGCTCTCCCGGCAGCCGGCACCGGTTCGGGGCCCTTCCTCGGGCCGGTCTCGGGCGGGAGCGGCGCCGCCGACACCTGCCGGGCCCGGGCTGAGAGCGAGCTTCCCGGCTGGGGGAGGACGACGCTGTGGCTGGGGCTGATAGGCTGCGGGGCGGGGCACGGCCTGCGCACGGCGCTGTGCGGGACTCCCGCCTCGGGCCTGTTCCCCGCTACGCTCGGGGCAGGGCTGACTGTCCCGCGGCGGCCTTCTGGCCCCGTCCCATCGGCGCGCTCGGGAGGTGGACGGCAGTCCACTCGGAGCTTAGCGGGCAGAGTTGGAAACAAGTTCCTGAGAGCCCGAGAGGCTCGTGGAATTCAGCTGCGGTTGTCAAAATGTGGCTTTTTTGGTATTTTTTTTTTAAGCTTGCTCAATCTGAGCTACTTTCTGCCTTTGCAGACGTGAATCACTGATGCATGTCCTTTGTGGAGATAAGGAGGCCCTCTTATCTTTTAAACAGGCCAGTGTACTGATTCTTTGTTTTCCTGGCTTGTACTGAGCCACATCCTGAGCGTTTAGAGCTTAGGAGACTTGCAGAGCCAAAGGAGGCTTGTGTAAATTTAATGAGGTTTTGCTTAGTTAATTTTTTTTAAATGTGGAAGAGTAAAACAAGGAATCATGAGAGGTAAAGTTAGCTAAGTCGGAAAAAAAAGGAACAAACACCTAGCTGTTTGTGTAGTGAATGATATGTATAAGATAATGTATTGAAATTGGGGAAGATGGAGGTTGGATCATCAGGAAAAGGTTCTGCACCAGAGGGCAGTGGGCATGGAACAGGCTGCCCAGTGGGCACAGCCCTGAGTGCTGGAGTGCAAGGAGTGTTTGGACACTGCTCTCAGACATAGATTTTGAGTTTTGGGTGAGCCCGTGTGGAGCCAGGAGTTACATTCAGTGATCTTTAAGAATCCCTTCCAACTCAACATATTCTGTGATTCCAAATAGAGTTTTGGGGATCTAAGGGGAAATACACAGCAATGCAGCAGCTAATGAATGAATAGGAACTTGAAGACAGGTGCTTAATGAACAGGATCGCTCATTACCTCTTTGAAATGTGCACTTCTACCTGAGTGAACTTCAGTTAAATTACCATAAGCTTGCCTGCAGTTTCAAATTCAATAAGCATACAGAATTTGTGAGGTTTGAAAAAGATATTTTTGAACTGTTTGTATATAGGTGGCTATTTGTAGTGTATTTGTTCTCTGCTAATACACTGAGGAACCTGGGATTTTCACGTCATATCTGTGCATTGAAACAGAAGTAGTATTGTCTGTATGCTAAAATCAACATTTTAACTGTTGTTTTCAGTATAGGCTCCAATGAGTGAAAACTAGGAGCCTGTATTGTTTTAAAACACAGTTTAAACAGGCAAGTATAGGTTTGAGAGTGCTCAGGAGGTAATGAGAGCATTTTTCTTTCTTCATGGTACACTGGATCCATGCAAATTTAATATGCATCATATGCACGTCAACTTACAGAATAGATTGTGGTGAAGACCTGAAACTTCCCCAAGCTTTAGTTGCTGTCATTTAAACCAATTTCTAATGAGATTAAAAAGAACAATATGCATAAAACCTCACAAAGAGTACAGATCAGAGATGATGTGGTTTTCTTTTTTTTTTTTTTGAGAAGTGTTGGGGAGGTAAAATATAATTATATGTAATGTTATCTGTGTAATTCTTCAGCGTCATCTCAGACATGCTCCTGTGTTGTAAGGTGCCTGGTTACGCACTTGGATCAAGACAGTGAACCACTTCTTGCAGTAGATTTGATGTGAGCTTTGGAAAAGTTGTCCTGAGCAGACTGGGAGTAGAAGGAGACTTTTTCTTTAAAGTAGTTGTGAAAAATATCGTGCTTTTCTTCTTATGGCATGTGGAGAATCTGGTAGTGTGTATGTGACCATCTTCAGAGTTCTTGTAGCTTTCTTTCTCATCTTAACAACCACAAAAGTTTGGCTTTGTATAGTAGAGTTTGAGGGAGCCGTCTGCTCTGTGTCCCAAGGATGTGTTGTCCAGCGGAACATCTTTGGGCGTGACAGTCAGTGTATTTTGTGTATGTGAGCCTTTTAGTGTTCCATCAGTGGTTTCTAGAAGAGAATGCATTGATATGCAGCTGTGACAACAGCTTACTAAGCTGGACTTGCTTAGTAGTAGCAATAAAGTCTTAAAGAAATTAAATTTCCAAACTTTTGGATAAGCATATTTCTTTTTCTACACAGTCTATTTGAGCAGTCTATTCTCTGGGGGAAAGAAGTTGTTCTTTATTTTTCATATTTATTGCTTTTGTTTCCAGAGCTCTGCATACCAAAAGTATGATGGATGAACTTTTGCACTGCTGTGTAATGATGCTCCCCATCTTGTCATAATACTCGTTTGTCTGAATGTTTTTCAAAGCAGGTGTACACTAAAAAGTGCTAAAAACCAATTTCTGAATAGGGGAAGAAAAGGCAAGGAAAAGAATGAACATAGCATATTAGTAAAGCAGGATGTATAATACAGGAATAGGAGGAAATTGGACTGAGTGTAGAAAGTACTTATTTGTATTGAAAGTACAGAAAACTAGGTAAAAGATGCTGAGAATTGAAATACTATGAAATAAAATACAATATCTGTATCAAATGTAGTTCTTTTGTCTAAAAATTATCAGTAAGAGATCACTAAAGTTTCATAGAGTTTTGGACCACTGTCTTTGTGTTTCCTAATATACCTCCCAATCTCACTAAAGGTTGATTTGCCTGCTCGGAGGTCACAGTACAGGTATACCCACCAGGCCCAAAACAGACCTGTTCCCTCCTCAATTTGAATTCTCAGGTGAAGGTTTAGCACTGGATCAGAGCGGGGCTGCTGGGAAACAGTGTCTGGAGAGAGGGGTGGGGAGTAAGTACAGGGTGGTGTGAACCCTGGTTTTCTAATGCTGGAGCTGAGGGGGAGGGCAGGCAGGGCAGAGCCCAGGCTGCAGAGGAGGATGTACAGCTGATTGCAAGATTGGACTGAAAAAGTGGCATGTGTGCACTTCTTGCTTGTATATGAATGATGTTTCTGCCATGCTGGTATGTTGCTTAACACCGGGTAGGACAGATCTAATGAATCTGAGAGAGTGGAATAAATGCTGACGTGATGCTGCCTCACCGCATTTTCTCTAAGGCAAGGTGTGGTTCTTTAGTTTTGCTCTAACCAATCCTTATGGTTTGCCTTCACTGGCAGATGTTCTGCAATTTTCATTACAGACCAAGTACACAAGATACTCCATTGCATGTGCTCTTACTGCAGAACATGTTTAACAGATACTTGTCATATTGCTCAGTAGTCTACTGGGGAACTCATGCATGCGATGTCTCTGAGGAACAGATGTGAACAGAGGAAACTACCAACTGATAGGGAGAAAAGTGAATGGGGAAGTTGTTTTACTCTCTTTAAATTATTTTTTCCCTCAAGCAACTGTAAAAGAATTTCCCTATTCTTGCATTTTGATCTCTGGTATTTTGTTGTGTTTCAAAACTACTGTTAAGGCTTTACTTTGTAGCTTGTTTGGAAAGGCATCCCAGACAAAGCAAGAGCACCTATTTTGTAACGTATTTGACAATGCCATTGGAAGAACATATGTGTCCTGTGATATTCTGGGAATGTGAAAAGTTTTCACAATTTTAAAGTATGCATAGAATCATTGAATGGTTTGGGTTGGAAGGGACCTTTAAGGTTCCAACCCCCTGCTATAGGCGGGGACACCTCCCTCTTACCAGGATGCTCAAAGCCCCATCCAGCCTGGCCTTTAGTGCTTTTAGGAAGGGGCAACCTGTTCCAGTGTCTCACCACACTCACAGTAAAGAATCCCTTCCTGATATCTAGTCTAAATTTACCCTCTTCCAGTTTAAAGCCATTTCTCCATGTTCATGCTCTTACAAAAAGTCTCTCCCCAGTTTTCCTATACCTCATTTTCTAAGTAGCATCCTGGGGTTTCTGTGGAAGCCTGGTGAATGTTCTGCTGTCTGTTTGTATTTGTTTTCTATAAGCTGATGTGGCTTTGTTATTATCAGGTAATACTTAGTGTTACAGTTTGTGTTACACTATAATTTTTGTATTTTTAGTGAACCTTTCAAAAGACTTCCTGCATAGTAACGCAGTTGCAACTGCTAGAAGCAGTAACTTAGTTCATTATCTACTGCCTCTTCTTTGAGTTTTCTATTAAAATTTTAATTAGAAAAAATGCTATAGGGTAATATTTCTGTTTCTTGTTTGATTGCCACTGCCTTTTGTCTTGTTGATATGACATCAAGTATCCGAAGAGTGAAAGTGAAAATTAAATAATGCCTTATCTCACTGTTAAATTGTACAAGTAGTAAATCGCCCAGAGAGAAATTGAACTATGTAATCTTACACTGTGTAAGGTGTGTTTCTATGCACTTGTTTATCTTTGCACAGATCCTGCTCAAAATGCAATATTCTGAATTTGAGCATTAGCCAAACGTAACTATAGGCAAATTTGACATCACTGAGCCTTAAAAAACGAAAGGGGGTTCCCTGCGAGAGTAGCACAAGAGTTCCAAGTAGATGAGGTGTTAACTGAGAAACTTCCTCACCCTGTTCCTGTTCTCTTCCTAGGTGAGTAGGAGAAGCATATTACTGATCTGTTACATCTTTCGTGCTATGCCGTGTAATTGGCAAGCTTCATCATTGGAGCACTCAGCTGGAAAGCGGAGAAACTGAAACAGTTCTTCAAACAGAGGACAAAGACAGTGTTTGAAAATGTGTAAAGGAGTTTGTGACTGCGTAGTATTACGGATGCTCTTTCTGGCAGACATACTCTCTCTGATGTTCCTTATCTTCATTTTCTTTTGATACCCTTGTGTTTTGCTTTAGCCTCTTTTTTGGCAGGGCAACTTTCTTAAGTGAGACACTGGGCCTCGTACCACTTCTTTGGGAAAACAGTG